ATAAGAAATTGCAGAGTGATAAATGCTATGAAGAAAATAAAATAAAGACAAGATAGAGTGACTGGGAGTGGAGGCAGATAGATTAGGGGTCACTGAGGAGGTGACATTTGAGTTAAGACCTGAATGCCAGTAAGTGGATGCTCAGGGAATGTTTGTTGATGGCAATTGAGGGATGTCAGAATGAAAAAGGCTTATTCCAGACTTCATCTGGCAAAGCATATATTGGGCATCTACTGTATGCTGGGTCCAGTGGTCAAAACAAAGCAGATGGTACTTGCATCGAGAGCTTACAGTCTAATTGGAGAGAAAATCATGAGAAAATAGGCAAATAAGTATAGATTCAAAAATTGTGGTATGAAGGGGCCATGAGAGAGCAAAAGGTGTGAATGACGTTTTTCTGGATGGTTGGGGAGTGAAGGGATTTCACTCTTAGAGATCATGATACTCTCACCTTTCAGGGAGTACACTGGATTTTTATGCATTTTTTGAAATAAACTTTTTATTTTAGAGCAGTTAGAGTTACAGAATTATTGTGAAGATAGCACAGAGTTCCTAGTAATCCCCACACTCAGTGTCCCCCATTATTAACATCTTACATTGTATGGTGCATTTGTCACAATGAACTAATAGTGACAGGTGATTATTAACTAAAACTCATACTTTATTTACATTTCCTCAGTCTTTCCCTAATGTCCATTCTCCATTCCATGACATCATCCAGGACACCACATTAGACTTGGTTATGTCTCCTTAGGCTCTCCGTGGGGGGTGACAGTTGCTCAGACTTTCCTTGTTTTCGATGACAGTTTTGTGGGCTGGACAGGTATTTTGTTGAATGTTCTTCAGTTGGAATTTGTCTGATGCTCTTCTCATCATTACACTGGGATTGTGGGTTTTGAGGAGGAAGACACAGACATAAAGTGCCATTTTCATCCTATCATTTCAGGGGTACAGACTGTCAATACAACTTATTGATGTCGATGTTAACCTCGATCACCTCGCTGAGGTAGTGACTGTCAGGTTTCCATTGTCAAGTTACTTTTTTCCCCTCCCTTTCCATACTGTACTCTTTGGAAGGAAGTCACTATGCACAGCCACACTTGAGAAGTGGCGCTGAGGTAGTGACTGTCAGGTTTCCATTGTCAAGTTACTTTTTTCCCTTCCCTTTCCATACTGTACTCTTTGGAAGGAAGTCACTATGCACAGCCACACTTGAGAAGTGGGGAGTTTTGCTCCAACTCTTTGAGGACAGAGTACATAAATTATTTGGAATTCTTCTGCACAGGAGATTTGTCTGTTATCTGATTTTTATGTATTTTTATCAATATTTTTATGCCAGGTCTTTTTATTTTTTAGAAGTCCAAGAACACTTTTGGTATTTCTAGGAACCTAGAAATTTTTTATCTCCATTAAGAAAGTTAAATTAGAGGGTAGGGGAAAAAGCCAATAATTATTTTAATTTTTTTCTATCATCAATACACATCAATGAAAGAAGACTTGGGAAAAGCCAAAATCAAAAAGAAGAATCTCTCTAGTTACACTGCTCAGAGCTGACTATTATCCACATTTCAATTTATTATCTTTAATTTTTCTCCTGTGCACAATTTTTACACAAAATATACTGTCTGTAATTTTGTTTCTTGCCTCTTCCCTTTTTTCTTTTTCTTTCTTTTTTTTTTCTTATTATCACATGAAAAACATTTCCCCATGTTACTATACAGACTTCATAACTATTATTTTCTTTTTTCTTTTTTTTTTTTTTTTTGTCTTTTGTCTTTTTTCCGTGTCTGGCGACGGATCGCTACCCTCAGTGTTGCCCCCGTACCGGACCGGGGACCGGCAACGGGGATCGCAAGCCCCGGCGTTGCTCCCGCGCCTCGCTCAGCCAGTGAGCAGGAGCCGGTCTGTATGTGGGATCCGAACCCTCGGACGGGAGCGCCGCCGCGCTTCCCAAGCGGCGCACTATCCAGTGTGCCACCGGGCCGGCCCCATAACTATTATTTTCAATAGCTGCTAAATATCGCCTCACATGGCTTATAGTGTACACCCCCACCTCCAAACTTAGCACGATGCCTGGCACATTGTCAGGGTTTAGAAATTATTTGTTAAATGAATGAATATCAGCAAAATAATCATTCCATTGGTTTTGGAAATGTAAATTTTCCTTTTTCATGATTCTAAATAGTCCCGAGACAAATAAATTATTCCCTTAAGATAGTGTCCCAGAGTAGAATTACTGAGCCAACAGAGGCTAAAAACTTTCAAAGAGAAATGCACCAAACAAGAAATCTTCCTCCCTTTCCTCTGCACCACTGCCAATGGTGCCAATGGTAATAATTTACAATTGATTAAAGAGTTTGCGGGGTATTTTCTCCCCATCTTTTTCCTTCCTACTCTCCCTCTCCTCCTGCCAGAAAAGGGGGAAAATTATCTGAGAAGGTGAAGATGTTCTCAGACAATCATATTAACATATTCCAACAATTGCAATTTGCGAAATAGTAATCACAACTCCGGGATCTGGGAGGCATTAATCAAAGCTTCAGGTTTAATTCCATTTTAAATATTGATGAAATGTGCTCCAGCAGCCTCACCCTGGCGTGGCAGGGCCAGGGAGCCAGGGAGGCGCAGGGGAGGTGGAGGGAGGGTTGGTGAGCAGCTGCTGGGAGGGGAGGCATCTGTGATTCAAATTGGTGGCTGTGCCGCCAGGTAGAGAGTGAAAGGGGTAGTGAAGAGGGCTGTTAAGTCCATTGCTGTCAATTTTTAACGATCAGGGAGGGGCCTGAGAACTGGCGCAGTACAATACACCCAGTTTGTCTGGTTTCAGGGGTTACCGCTGAAGAGGTTGCAGCTGCACTGATTCGAATAGCCTAGAGACTTCAGAACTGTAATTATCAACCAGGCTGCTCACAGTGTGGCAAAAGTGGGCTCCACCAGCACTTAACTCCTTGTGTGCTGATGCATCACCACCGCTCTCCCCACCCCTGGGTGTCCCAGCCTCAGTGAGGACTCCCCGGCAGCCTCCCCAGGGGAAACTGAGGCCCACTGGCTATTTAGGGAAGTCCTCAAAAGCCAGAGCCAAGCAGCAAGACTTTTTCCTTAGGTCACATGAAAAGAAATAGTGAAGAGGTGGCTGGTTCTGCATGCTCTTGGCACTACCACATCTGCCCTGGGGTTAGGAGTCAGGCTGCAGAACCTGGTGAACCTTGGTTTGAATTCCACTGGCCCTGGACCCAGGACAAGGCTCATCCAGTCTATAAAATGGGGGTAATCTCCCCTACCCTGCTGGGCTGTTACAAAGATCCAGTGAGATGCAGTATCTGTAAAGCACCGAGCACACAGTAGGCTCTGGATGAGCCTCCATCTCCCTGACCCTGGGTCTGAAGCTTTTCACAGAAGAGGAAGGCATCCCTAGGAAGGGGGATCTGATGTGAAGGGCAGGCTTCTGCTGGCCTCTGCGTGCCAGTTTTCAGGGAGTTCCCTTGTTCCCCAGCTTCTGCTGTCTGTCACCCAAGGAGGATGGATAGTCCCATCCCCCCATCTCTTAGGCAGGAGGCTAGGCACAGGTTAAAGAAGTCCTCCAGCACGGTAGCCCCAAGGAGAGCTGCTTGGGGCAGAGGCTGGTGCAGAGGGAAGAGGGGAATGAAGGAGGGAAGGGAGACGGGCAGCAGGCAGGCAGGCAGTATGGCGGGAAGAGCAGGGGCTTAGCTGGGAGTACCGATGAAGGTGCATGAGTCTATGTAGGACCCAGTGACCCTCCTTCTGGAATATAGCTCCAGGGAGATTCTTCCACATATCCTTGAAGGGACCTGGTGAGAACGTTCATCTCAGCAGTGTTCCTGGGAGCAGGGAGTTGCAGGCAACCTCCATATCCACCACTGGGCGGATGGAGAGTTAAATGTGCCAGGAGCCAACCATGGAATATTAGGCAGCAGTAAGAAGCAAAGAACTAGATGCACATGTAGCAACGACAATAGGGCTTGAAAACATAGTGTTCAGTGAAAAAAGTAAGACAATGAAATTCACAGCACAATGCCATTTATGTAAATTAAAAGCACATTCATACGCAAAACAAAAGTACATATTTCACAGAGCTACATGCACGTTTAGGGCTACATATCCCACCATTAGAGAGGGTTCCTGCTGTGGTGGGGGAGTAGGTGGGTGTGGATTCAGAGGAGAAAGGGGAAAAAATAAAAGTAAGTCCAAAGAGGGGTCTTGCACAAAGAGATGACGGTGGTGTGCTGTGGACTGAAGAATGGGATTCACTCAACTCTCTGTGTTTGAGGTTTAAAAATCGCACAGGCTTTGAAGTTGGGCGGCACTAGGGTTCACATTCCAGGCTCTCCCACATGCTAACCCTGGGGCTGTGGACAAGTGACTCGACCTCTGTGAGTTTCTGTTTGTTCATCTGTAAAATACTGGGAAAGACCAACCTCTGCCTATCAGGTGGTCATGAGCATTAAACTTCATTAAACTTGAGGGAATACCAACAAGCTCCTGTCCGCCTCCTCTCCGCTCCTCACTGAAAGGTCCTGAGTATACCAAGGGTGTCAGCCTCCTGGGGAAAGCACAGGTTCTTTAAAGGGTCAAGAATGGAGAGCCCAGAAAGGAAAGTGAAATCTGAAGACTCTGTCTCCTAGCACCACGGCAAGGCCCAGACCCGCAGTACTAGGGGTGCCGCTTGTGGTGAGATGGACCAGGCAGTGGCCTGAGTGTGAAGCTGCTGCTATCTGATTGCCTGTAGGGATCAGTGCACCTCAGGGTGGCCAGATGACTTGCCTCTATAAGCAGCATGCACAAGACTGGGCAAGTGAGGGATTTGGTTTTAGTCAAAGGTCTGTTCCTCCCCAGCACAGAGCTAAACAGACTGGTCACCACCAACAGACCACCACCTTGTGCTGCAATGCACCTCAGTCCCAAGACCCCACCTAGGGGACTCCAAGGGTAGGGAAGGTCCTGGACAGCACCAAGCACAACTGGCTCTTTCTCTTTCCTTGCAGATGATGATGAGCATGAGTGGATCATCCGTACCTGTCGAAAGGGCTAGGAGAAGATTGTGGGTCACAGGCCCAAGCTGTGATCTCTGCATCCACCTCCAGCAGTGGTTTCCCTCTGTCCCATTGGCACTGGCTGGCCCAGGGTAGAGGCCGTAGTTCTAGAATCTGATTTGGACTCAGGAATAAAGGTTTTCTGCAGTCAGTGGCCCCACGTGTTTTTCTTTAGAAGACTGTTTCTCAAAGGGCATCCTCCTCTCCCCTGCATCAGAATCACCTGGGCAAAATGGTGAACTACAGCTATTCCTGGACCTCACCCTAGACCTGCCAATCAGAATCTTTGGGAAAAAAAGCCTAGCCATTTGCATTCCTGGGTATTCCTCATGCATGTTAAAGTTTGAGACCCATCACCTCATAATAATAGATATATGTAAATCGAACGAGCAACTAACAGTGCAGGCAGTGTGTGTGCACTATCTCTGCTTCTCACAGCAGCCTTGCAAGGTGTACTGAGCATCACCTTCTGCAGATGGGAAATCTGCAGTTCAGAGAGATAGTCACTCACCCCCTCGGTCTCAGCGGGCAGTAGGACCTGATCAGGTGCCCAGACTCACAGCTGGTACCTTCCCAGAGGCCCCAGAATGATTACCCAGGACTGCCTCTCCCTCTCAACAGCCCCCTCCACTTGAGCCTCATATCCTAAGCTCAGAATCAGCGTGGTGCCATGGAAAGAATGTGGCTTTAGCATCATACATGCCCGGGTTCGAATCCCAGCTAAACCACAGGTATCATGTAACCCTGGGCAAATCACTTCTCTAAGCCTCAGGTTCTTCATCTGTAAAATGGTTATAATGGTGTTTAAAACAGAGTAGCTGTATGGGTTGAATGAGATAATACAAGTAAAGGAACTGGCGCTGAGCAGGCACCCAATGTATGTTTGCTTTAAAGAACAATTTGTTAGCTGTGCATATAATCATTCCTCAAAATCACCCCAGAGATCACATTAGTCAAATGAAAACCAGAAGTAGAAGCAGCAACATGTTCCAGGGCCACATTTGGGCCACAGGCATCCTGGATCTTTCTATCATGGTCCCTCCTTAGAGGCCACTAGATCCTGCAGCCCCTGTGCTTTGTCCCCTGACTCAACAGAGCTGCCTGGTGGAGGCATGAAGGTGAGTCAAACTTGAGAGGGCTCTGCTAAGGTCTGTGGGGGAGGGGGAAACTGGACCTCAGACTAGGGGCCCAGAGGGATGCTGCTGGGGCAGGGCCTGAATCCAGAGGGAGGCCTGGGTTCCTCTCAGCTGCACCATGGAGGAGGTCTGCGGAGCACCCCTCTCCTCTGAGGCCCCAGTCACCTTGATAGAATGATAGGGGTGAGCTCCACCTGTGCTTTCCAAACTGTGTTTTGAAAACAGAAGGTATATTCGTGTAAGAAACACACACACGTATGCACCCAACTAAACTAATCTAGGTCAACCTTTGAAAAATGGATTGGAAGAGTGGAGAGGAAGGGCAGAAATGGGGTCCCAGATAGGGGAATAAAAACTAATAGAATAAAGAGAGAGGCCCTGCAGAGTTGGTGACCATGTACACCATGACATTTACAAGTAACTCATTTCTGTGCAAGGCCACAGAGGGCTGCAGAAACCTCCACACCCTACAGGGTAGCTCCACTCCACAGCAGGAACTTTGGCTTGAACAAATGATTCTGCAGCTGAAAGAAAATTTGACAACCACCAGAAAGATGCTCTCTCTTACTCCCCACTGCCCAGATTACACTGTGGCTCTGGAACCTGAAATAGCTACTTTGAGACCCTGATTTGTATAGAAGCTGGAGCCCTGTCTCCCATCCCATATGCCCTTAACTTCACCTTATTAAATTCTTCCCCATCTTCCAAATAGGCTCCTCCGCACCTCCCTCCCTGCCCCACCGCCAACACCCTCCTCTTTCGTACCTATTCTGGGCACTTCTCATATGATAGATCCAGCCCAAATGCCCATCCTGAGCCCCCATAGCATGCTGGAGGGATGTCTGTTTACAGCATTTGCCAGATTGAGAGCTCTTCTAGGACAGGGTCAACTAGGACTCTTCTCTGAGTCTGCAGAGCCAGCACAGAGACCAGCAGAGAACATGTGTTCAGGGACCAGAATGGAGGACAGTGGCCAGCCCAATTTCCTACAAAGCTTAGATGAGAGGCAGGAGTGACCAAGCACTTAGAGAAGAAACCCTCATCACACCTTTACAATGCAAAGTTTACTACCTAGGAAATGGTACCAGTTTTCCAGGAAGGAGAATTGCACTGTCCAGCAGACCAGATATTCTGAGAGCCAGGGACCTAAGCCCTTCACTAGAAAGCGGGAAAGAAATGGAATACCATCATATTCTGGATTTCAGTGCCAGCACTTCTACTTGCATTAACTTTATTACACAAATAAGACATTTACAAAGCACAACATGAAAGGTATGTAACAAAACAGACATTGGTTTTACAAAAAAGTGCTTACAATTTTTTTCCATGTGTGTGTTTTCCCCTTTGTTTTGTATTTAAATAAATAGTCTTGACAGCTTGTACATTCCCAGGCTGCTCTTAACAGGGTAGTGGAGACATGTTTGAACTGTAACATGCTATGTGTTCCACGCAAGGAATAGACCCTGGGGGGAGGCTCAAGGCAGAGTGGGTACTGGGTGACCCGGGGCAGGTCTCGGCTGGCCACTTACCACATGGTTGTCATTGGGGCTTTGATCATCAGAAGCAAAAATCAAAGGAAATCTTTGAGCTCTCCAAGGCCACGGATGGCGCCCAAGTCACTCCTGTTGATGTCAGTGCCCAGCACTGGGCAGGGCACAAGTTACCAACGGATGACTTCTGAACTGAGCTGTACTCCCCACATTTTCAGTGGTGCCTTCTCTTTACCCTTAGTCAGCTGCAACCATCTTTGGAAGGGAGAGAAAGCAGGTTCCCTTCTTAAGCTACATCCATGCCTAGCTCTCCTCCAGGTCCCAGAGCAATGGCATATAGGTTTTCATTTTAAGTGCCAACTTCAAGCATTTGAATTCTGAAACCTCATCCAGACTCAGTGAGAGTGCTGCAATTGATTAGCAATGTCTACCATGGGTTAAAACAGGGACAGCAGCAGCATATGTACCATGAACTCACTTTCCCTGCCCTAGAGTCTTCTTCCAAAAGCAACACATCAGGTTAACCACAGCAGGAAGGACAACTTGGGCTAAAACATGCTTACTAGTAGCCTCTAGCGAGAAATGCATCAGGACACCAAGTAGTTCTAGAATTACAGGACAAATGGGCGTCCCTTGAAAACATAAGTCATGGTCATGTGTAGCCCAAGCCCTTTTGTCCTTCCAAAAGCAACACATCAGGTTAACCAAAGCAGGAAGGACAACTTGGGCTAAAACATGCTTACTAGTAGCCTCTAGCGAGAAATGCATCAGGACACCAAGTAGTTCTAGAATTATAGGACAAATGGGCGTCCCTTGAAAACATAAGTCATGGTCATGTGTAGCCCAAGCCCTTTTGTTTTGGGTGGAAGAGTTGCAGCAGGATGGGGTGGATATGAGCACAGCTGTGTCTGTCCTCTGTTCTCAGGAGTGGGTGGGGCTGGCTCTGGGCAGGGTTGGTGGGGAAGCCCAGAGGTGCCAGCTGGAGTCCTGAGTTGGCACACTCATCTAGGCAACAAGTACCCCTTCTCTACTCAGAGACGGATCCAGTTAACGTTCTGACTGCCATTTCACTGGGCTCTGTTCCCTGGCCCTCTATGAGTGGTCCCCCCAGAGACCTGACCCAGGCACCCCTACCAGGGGTCAACAAGTAGCCAACAAGCATCCCCAACTCTAACCTGCCCAAACATTCAGAAGTGTCATCACACAGATCAATACCATCTCTGCTACATTTCCTGCATATATGCCAGATAATTAGGTGGAGGTAGGGTCTCCCAAATCCCCAGTTTTCTCTCTCCTCTCTTTAAAATGGCTAGTGCCCCTCCCAGTCCAGCGTGCCACGTCCCTCTTTTCCACCTCCAAACCAATGAAGGACTTTGTGCACCCCCATCCCCCACCTATCCCCCTGCCTCTTGGTCTGGGCAGGCCTCCATCTCTGCCCTATTGGGCCTCTCAGGGTTGGTCAGTGTCTCTTCTCTTTCTGAATTAACTTGACATAACCAGACAGATGGAAATGATAAAATTATAGAACATAGCTTTCCTTTGGGGACATCCCACAAACACTGTAGAGTTTTCCAGACAAAAGCAACAGAGTGGATAACACTGGGGGTTGTCGGCTATTCAGAATTCAGAGATGGATCCAAGGAAGTAGTAAATAAAGGCCAATGTAGGGGGAGAGAAAACCTGTAAATTAGAAGGCTGCTGGCATCGCACAATTCAATTCTGCCTTTTGCTATTGTAATCAGCTTAAATTGAAGAGGACTCCTGTTTAAATGGAAAAAACAGGCTGTTGTTTTCACCCTGATTCCAAATTTCAGGGAGTTCTGCCTTCCATGAGGAGGATTCTGTGATGCTCCTGGTTGGTTCTGGCTCGCAGCAGGAGAGGGAAAGGCCAGGCCTACGGGGCCCAGCTGGTGGCGGGCATGATGGTGGATGGGGGTGGATGCGGAGGCGGTTGGATCCCTGGCCACAGCTTGGACACTGGATCTCAGCGGCTGAGGGGCAGCTGTGGGGTGCCCACGGACAGATGCGGAAGTGACGGCAGCGTTAGTACTGAAAAAGGATGACCTGCAAGAGGAGGACACGGTGGGTGGCTGAGCTGGGGATCTGCCCCACTCGGCAGCCCCCCAGAGGACCTTGAAGGCACAGAGAACAAGGGTGGGCTCAGGGCCCAGATCTGGGCTTAAATCCTGGCTCTGTCAACTTACTTGCTGTGGGACCTTGGGGAACTCACTTCACCTCTCTGAGCCTGTTTCCTCATCTGCAAAATGGGAGGACAAAACCTCTCTCTCAGAATCGGGAGGATTCAATGAGACACAGAAGCAGCAGCTAAAGTCTACTGGACACTGTCCCCTACACCTTCCATGCATCCTTTCACGGAGGCTGCCCCTCACCCCGTGAGGGAGTCCCACCATTATTTCCACTTTACAGGGAGGGTGCTGAGGCTCGGAGAGGTGGAAATCAGGGAGCACACGATCGCACAGCTAGGAAGAGCGGACCAGCATCAGAGGCCAGGCATGGCTCCTGAGCAACGAGCAACGTCTCCTTACTAGACCACATCACCTCCACCTCTCCAAAGCCACGTCTGTGGCCTCTGACTGCTTACTACCCACCAGGCAACAGACTAAGCACTTCTCGTGCACTTCATCTTCACACGCGAGAGGCACGCATGCACGTGGCTCCCTCTTCCACCTGAAGCGTCCGGCTGACATCCCATGGCTGCCACACAGCCAGTTCCTGAAGTTCAGGTCAAGGATTATGGGCTGGCTGGTCAATGGGATGTGCCCTTTCTCAGTAAAGTGTGAGGAGGAGGTCTAAACTGGTCCAGGGACATCTGGTGGGCACAGCCACATGGCTGTTCCCTTTTCTGATCAGGAATGTTACTTGCCGATAATTGGTTACCATGAGGAGGTGATGGAGGAAAGTGATGATGATGGTCTCCATAACAGTAATGATTATAATAAGCAGCACTATGGGGTGCTTCCTGCATGCCAGGCATGTGTTAGGCTCTTACACATATCATTGCATTTACTTTCCACAGCAACCCTAGGTGGTGGCAACTATCATTATCCCCATTTTATGGCTGCAGAAACTGAGGCTCAGAGGAGCTAAATGTGCTCCCAGGTCTCACAGAGAAGAGCTGACAGAGCTCACACTGCCTTCCTCACCCAAATGGGCACCACTCCCGTGTGACCTCCAGGATGCTGGGCTTGGGGTTCTTATTAAGAGAAGCTCTCTTGAGATGGATGACCCCAGTAAGACCTTCCCCTCCATGGTCCTCAGTCTCTCTATCTGATTAATGACAGCTTAGCCCTGATTTCTAAGAACCTTCCAAGCACTGAAGGTGTGGGATCAGGGGACACAACCAGGAAGAACTGTGGTTGTAGAACTACCCACAGGCATGTGTGGCCAAATGATAATGCAGTACAGGCAGAGGATGCACCCCGAGAATGCTCAAAGCACTGCTTTCCTGGACAGGCCAGTGCTGGTCTAGACGAATGGGTTCAGGGGCCAGCCCAAGGGGGACACTGTGTCTCCTCACAGCTAAGTTGGCTCAAGGCTGGGGGATGGGAGAAAGCCCATATGGTCCTGTGCTGACCATGCTGACCACACAAAGCCCACACCCTACAGCCCACCAGGACCCATGGGTTTGACAAAATGTGGGCAGGAAAGGTTCCCAGGAGCTGTGGCGGAAGGCCTGATGGTGAGAGGGCAGAAGGTCATGAAGGAGAGAGAGATATTTTAATGCAGAACTTCTGGCTGCAAAGCTAGGGACACACACAGCCCAGCAAGAGAGGACTTGCTCAGCAGCCAAACCCAGGGGCCAGAAACCTTTTATAGCCAAAGCTGTCAGACCCCCGCCTGGCTCATCCTTCAGGCTAGACCAGATATAACCACAAGCTTAGCTGGGCAACCGGGAAACAAGGGGTCCCCTCCAAGTGCTAAGCCAGGCCCTACATACTTCTAAGGCCCACATCTGCCCTACATATAACAGCCGAGCCATTCGCTCGACAGTCCAGGTCCTTTGTTATGTAGCCCCCATCAGCTCCCCACCCTGAACACCCACAGTCCCCTCAAACCCCTCTCACAGGAAAGGGGCAGCTTCAAGGCAGGTGGTCCTAGGATCAAGGCCAGCACTGTCCACACTCACCGTGGGACCCTGGATGCGCTACTGCTCTGTCAGCCTCAGTTTCTACTGGTATGAAATGGTGGTCATCATAATCATCCCCCCAGAACATGGTGGTGTAACACCAAGGTCGAGGGTTCAGTTCAGATCTCTGTACCAGCCAGCCACCAAAAACAAACAACAAAACAAAACAAAACAATGTCATCCTCCCAGGGAGGCTGTGAAGGATGAAGACAGGGAGAACACTGTGTAAACTGTAAAGTGCTGCACAAAAGGAAGCAATTACTAACCTGCATGGACTTCAGAGTCTGATAGACTCTCTGTATCCTTGGACAAGTTGTGTCACCTCTCTGAGCCTCAGTTTCCTTATCTTTACAATGAGGTAAGCCACCCCCACACCCACAAAGTGGCTGGGAGATGTCAACCAGACAATGTGTGTAAAGCACCTGCCTTGAACACAGAGGAGCTCAACAAACAGCAGCCCTGGCTGTGAATATGACATTCTCAAAGGGGTCCTTCCTGGGGTGTGTTCAACCACCACCAGATTCTGCAGGATTCTGCTTTGAGTACTACCATTTTTTTTATGAATGTATCTGCCCAACTTGGCTATCTGTACATCTGCACCATACACATCCTCCCTTGGTGCCCAGTACATAGGCAGCCCAGCATACAGTAGGTGCTCAATCAGGAGATGGGACCAGAAGGACCATCCTGGAGGAGTGGTCCCCACCCCTGGCTGCCCATCAGAATCACACAAGCTGGGTATTATACACACAGATCCCTGCACCCTACCCCCAATCTGTCTGTCAGACTCTCTGAGGGTGAGGCTTGGGAGTCTGTACGTAACTTTGCAAGTTGCCCAGGTGATTCTGAGGCATGGCCAAGACTGGGATCTGCTGGACTGGAGTGCCTTTGCCTCCAGCTCTAAAGCACTGACCTTCTCTCCCTGCCCACCACACCCACTCTCAGGGTGCCCTGCCTTGCTCTACACAACCTCCAACCCAAACTCTCTGACGACTGCTATGTAATGTTTCTGCAACAGGCCTTTCAGGGACCCCCACTGTCCCAGGATAAAGTCCAGACTCTTCCACCTGGCAGCACCCCCTGAGACCCCCACTTCTCATCGCTTTTCCTCCCAAGCCTGTGTGCCAGCAACACTGGATGACTTAGGGTTCCCTGGTGAACTCTGGTTCAGCTCTTAGCCTGGGCTAGAGGTTGCCCTCCTCTAGGAAGTTATCCCTGCATCTCTCCTGTGCACCCCCCTCCCCAGCTCTCATGGCTTCCACGATCACAGCTTGATCACTGGGCTCTGTCTCCCTCTCCAGACTGTGGCCTCCTCAAGTTTAGGGACCATGGTGAACTCTGGTTCAGCTCTTAGCCTGGGATAGAGGTTGCCCTCCTCTAGGAAGTTATCCCTGCATCTCTCCTGTGCACCCCCCTCCCCAGCTCCCATGGCTTCCACGATCATAGCTTGATCACTGGGCTCTGTCTCCCTCTCCAGACTGTGGCCTCCTCAAGTTTAGGGACCATGCTTAATGCATCTCTGTGCTCCTGGAAATGGACTCAGGGCTGCTGGGCACAGTCAGTACATAGGAAGTGTCTCCCCAGTTAAACAAATAAGTGAATGAATTAATGCACAGGTTCTCATCCAGCTGTGACCTTGAGCTAACTGGGCCTCAATTTCCTCATTTCTAAAATGAGGGGCTGTCTTCAAGCAGTGGCTTTCCAGGCTAACTGTGAGGGTCTCAGAGCCGAGAGGGAGGTGAGGCCCCTACCCACCCCATGGTTTCACCCAGAGCCGCTCTATCCACATTCATCTGCATTATGGAAAAGATTAGACAATGGGTTCTAGGACTTGAAAAATAAAGACTTCAAGCCACTGGGCTGGGTGATGTCTTAGTACGCTTCTGGATGTTTGGTCCTGATGTCTAAGACAACCAGAGATCCGGGTTCGACAAAGTTGACCAAGGCCACTTGCTGGCTTGCTATCCCTAGGGTCCACCAGCTCAGGATATTAACTCCCCATAGACAGGAATGAAAAGGAGGAGGAGGAACGAGTGAGATGACGGGAGGCAGGTGATGTATGATATAACCTCTCCCTGGAATGTCAAAGCTTGAGTAAAGTAAACTCACAAATCTGAAAAAGGGAAGGCCAAACTATTGCTGAGGGCTGCAAGGAGTCCTTTGGAGCAGTGTACATATGGAATATACTGGCAGCTGCTCGAGTGACTGCCCTGGGGACACAGTGGGGGCCTGAGTGGGTTGGGCAGAGAGGGTCTGCCACAAAGCAGCATGGTGCCTGCTCAGCGACAGGGAATGCTGCCAGAAATCCATCCCCAGCAGGATGGCTCTGATCCACCAGACCACCCTGGCTCCATTTACCTTCTCACCCCGGTTGGAGAGTGGCCCATCCATATCAGCTTTGAGGTGGACGGGGGGCGCGGTGTAAGGCAGCCGGCAGTGCACCTGCCCGCACTGAACCTGACCTGTGGATGAGAGGATGCCTTGGAGCCCATTCCTCAGGCTCCATGCAGGATCCCACCTGCCCCATGCTTTGCAGGTGGGAGCCCTGAGACCAGTTTCATCTCTGACACTTACCACCTGGATGGCCCTGAGTGAGATTTCAATAGGGTTAGTTGCAATGCTGTATGTGATGGTCTTTATAATCTATAAAGTGCTATATAATGGCAAGGTATAACTGTCTAGCTCACTGATAAACAAACACTCCTAAATGAATATGTATTGAACACCTCTTGCAAGTAAGGCTGTACCCCAGCCTCCTAGAGGACTCTGCACTAATGTCACCATCCTATTTACAATTGCAACCCAACACCAACACCCTGGCTTACTATATATTTTTATGGTTTATTTGGAATTATCTGTCTTTGCCATCTAGAGTTCAAGCTTCATAAAAGCAGGAATTTTTGTCTGTTTTTTATATTCTAGATCTGGGTGGATTTCCAGTACCTAGAATCAGGCATGGCATCTAGTAGGTATTCTTTAAGTATTTGTTGAATGAATTTCTGTACCCTATTCTAGCATATAAAACTGTTGGGAAAGTCCATCTTGTGTCTGATCTAAATCTCTCATGCTTCAGCCTGTTTACCGCTACAGTGGAGAAGTCCATTGCCAGTCTCTAGACTTCATCCTCTTCGGTCACAGGGAAAAGAGCCCTGTACACAGATTTACAATTGATATGTAACTTTGGACAAGTCACTCTGCCTTTCCGAGCCGCAGTTCTCTCATCTGTAGAGTAAAGCTGTTGTATTAAATTTGGGGTTATTAAGCTGGAGTGTTCAAGGGGTCCACGAACAACCTTTAATTACTTGGAAAACTATGTACGTCTATGCATTTTTCTGGGGTTTGGTTCCAAAGCTTTTATCAGATTCCAAGCTCTAAGGCTCCAGGAAACTCAGGATCCTGTGCCTGTAGTTAACTGCAAAACAAAAGTTCATTTTTCTGAGGTCTGGTTCTAACACTTTCACAAGCTCCCTAGCTCCAAGGCTTCAGAAAATTCGGGACTCCATGACTTTAGTTAATTATAAAACAAATGCTAGGGTGACCTTCAGTCATGCAGCAAGAGGTGGCAGGTCCAGACACCCTCAACATCTTCTGACCCAAGCTGGGTTCCATTTCTAGCAGAGGATGAAGGAGCACCTCAGCCCCTTCTCTAGGCATCAAAGACAGATCTAGGCTTGGTCAACGGAATGTGCGGAGAGAGTCCTGGCAGGGACTCTGAAAGCAATGGCCCCACTTCCAAGGAGCTCACCTAGATCCATTACTGACTCCACACCAAGTATTAGCTTGTGCCTATAGAGCTCCTGGTCCTTGGAGCCTTTAACAGGTGTTTAATGGGCTCTGAATATGTCATTGCTTAGAAAAGAAAGGGAGAAAAGTCCCTCCTACTGAGCAGATGATTAAGAAATGGAATGTGCCTATAGAGCTCCTGGTCCTTGGAGCCTTTAACAGGTGTTTAATGGGCTCTGAATATGCCATTGCTTAGAAAAGAAAGGGAGAAAAGTCCCTCCTACTGAGCAGATGATTAAGAAATGGAACAGTAAAAAGAGACCTGGTTTCCAAACAGCAGCCTGGTACAGTAGACAGGACTCTGCACTTTTAGTCCTGCCAACCAAAACCACTACCACCAGCACAAGAGCAACTAATACTTATCCAGCACTTACTAAATGTTGAAGACTTCAAATCAACTAATTCATCTGATGCTCACACCACTCTGAAATATGTACACTTACAGTCCTCTTTTTTACACTTGAGGGAACTGGTATTCAGGGAAGCTAAGAAACCTGCCCAGTGTCACACAGCTAGTAAGTGGC